AAGTGTTGCCAAGACGAGACCATATGACTCAGCCTGTCAAACTGATAACTTTTTGATAGTACGAGTCGTATGATCTCGTCTTGGCACCACTTTACATGGACATGCTTTTGGTGGGATGATATTGAATTCTTTAGCAGACTGAAAATTTAATAAAAAATAATTTGTCTTTTGTCTTTTTTAATTATTTTATAATCTCGAGCGAAGTGTTATATTAATGGATCATATACCTAGTCAGGTCATAAATTCTGTCATATGTTTAATATAAAATAATTGAAACAAGTTTATTCATTATGTAACCATTTATATACCAAAATGAACTTAATAAAACATAGATTCCCATGACAATAAAGTTTATTCAAAATGATCTCCGTGATTTTGAATACAGGCCTTCAATCTGCGCGGCCAGTCGTCTATTTCTATAGTCAGTAACTATTTCGTCACGAACGAGGTCCATGTCAATATCGGCGGCTGCCTTAATCAAGGATGTCTTGAGTGATTCCAAATTGGGATGAGGCTTTGAGCACGCCTTTTCCTCCAAGTGTTGCCACATCTTGTAATCTAACGGACTCAAATCTGGACTGGAGGAGGGCCAGTGTTCACTTCACGCGCCGCCAGCAAGTCTTGTGTGCTCTTCGCTCTATGAGCTGGCGCCGAATCTTGTTGGAATACCCAGTGCCTGTTATTGAACATGGTATGAGAAACAGGTTTCACAAGGTTCGTCAGGGCTGTATTTTGATACACAACTGCATTCGTTTTGACACCTTTCTCACAAAAATGTAACTCTGTTAAGCCCCAATAAGAAACTCCCAACCATACTATGAGCGAGGATGGAAAATGACCTCGTTGGACACGCGAAATACGGTTGCTTGCTTCTTCACTACTATGTGCGTACACCTTATCATTTTGTTTGTTGTAGCTCTCTTCTAAGGTAAAAATTTTTTTTCTTCCGAAAAAATATTTTCCTGATACTTTTTTTCCCGCGTACCGCTTCAACAAAGCGCGGCATCTCTTCACTCTCAGGTCCATTAGACGAGCATTTAAACGATGTCCTGTTTTTCTTCGATATGCCCGAAGCCCTAAGTCTTCATTTAACACCCTTTTCACCGTGGTTCTGCATAACCCCATCTGAAGGGCCAACAGTTTCTGCTTACGTTTGGGATTTCTTTGAATTCGCGCCTGCACAGCTTTTATCACTGCTGGAGTCCTAACAGACCGAGGGCGACCACTTCTTGACATGTCATCTACACTAGTCTTCATTGTATCGTTTGATGATACGATAAACGAAGCTTTTGTTATATATTCAAATTTTTCAGTATGTCAAAAATTTGAATTGGCGCGTAACCGCAACGATGCAACGCAATAAAATATGCAACACGGTCTTCTTTAAGCGTCCACTCCATATTTAAAAATGAGTAAAATTCTAAAAAGTATACATTTTTATTTTCATGAACAATTCAATAAACTTTTTTTGTGGCCAGCATCTGTGTATTATAATTCTATTAATAAACTCCTAGCAATGCAAGCTCGCAGATTATAAAATCTGAGTAACGAAATAGTCTGAGCCGTCTAGAAAAGAAATCCACTAGCTTACCTTGTAGATAACTGTTTAAAGGAGATTGCTCAACTTCCATACATGTTTGGCCTAAAGACCAATAATCATGAAAAATTGTTTCCTAGATTCGAAATTATATATAAATTACTGTAGAAACGAATATTATTGACGGACACCCCTGAGAACTTCTTTAAACCATATACACTGAACATATTAAAATAATAAAAAACAAATAAGTTATATAGTAAACCAGGGGAACTAAGGGAAGCCAAGTACCGAAATTATGGATTAGATTCAGGTATATAGAGTATCTAGATTAACAGATAGTTACCTGTTTTTAAGGTTAATGCATAAGAGTAACTTTTAAAATCAGATGTCATTTCCGGTTATAATAAGGTACTCTGTGACAGAAGTCAGCCACAGATTAGAGAGAATTTTTAAACTCTCGTTAACCAAAGAAAGCTAAGAGATTTAGGTTCTATAGCCATATATTCAGTAGCTTCATTATTTTTGTTATGTGTTTAAGATAACCATATTTTAGAATTTTAGTGTATCACACCTTATTATTTTATTTATTTATTAATTTATAGTCAGGGAACGTAGGCCCAAAGATAGATACCTTAAAGTCTAACATATACACAGATTATAATGTGTTTATGGAGGTGTTTGGCGAAAAATGTATGGCAATAGACTTTATGATGTCGCCTACCATCTATAATAATTGAGCACATTTGCATCTAGTGAAAATGATAATATAGTTGTGGATATTAATACCGCAGTGTAATAAAAAAAATGATTTATTTTATCGATCTTTACAAAATAGATTTGTTTTCATGTTATATAAACAACTTCGATCAGTCTTTGGCTGAATGTTACTACACCCATAGCCATTAAAAATGATTCGTATGTTTTCCAAACCGGTAAAATTAAAAGTCCTATTTAAAGTAAATATATTATACAAAGGTGTCCGTTGAAATCTAATGACTGTAAATTAAATTATAAATTACGCCAAGAATTACCGTGTATGTCAATATTTTTGTGCATTTGGGCCAATTTGAGCAATCTCCTTTACCAATGACTAAACAACATACGTCTGAATATATTACAAACATAGTATATTTCATAATTTTATATCTGTACGAGAACTCTAATATAATATTAATATTTTGTGAAATTGTCGCTTCGGCGTCGGCTAGATTCACATTTAGGACGCGTAAAATGTATGTTAATAAGGCAATTTTAAAATAAAACCTAAGTAATTATTTTTGTACTGTTTCCACGCAAACACAATTGATACAAACAATGATTGTCTAATATAAATTGATACCCAAATCATATAACTATGGCCATACATATTTGGCAGTCGGGAGTAAAAGCTATTCGCGAAACCGGTACTTTTACACTATTGAAAGTTATCACAAGACTTTCCATCACTTAGATTACCTCATTTAATAGTGTAATTTTGTGTGATTCAAAGAGTTCAAACTACAGAAAACTATAGAAGTACATATTTATATAAAAAAAAACTGGCATAGTAATACAACAGTACTTAATACGATAAGTATAGGTATTATTATTTGTCACTTAGTACAAAACACACAGTCACAGTTCTACTAAATAAAATGAAAGACGGCAAAGCCCCTGAACATTTAGATTTAATCAAAAAGAAAATGGGTTGTAGATAGGTGGGTATGATGCTCCCTCCACTGGGGCACTGTTTGGATGGACCTATGGATGGCGTGGAATAGGACATGACCCACTAAGCGAGCGCAGCGCGGATTTGTGAGCGGGGACAACGATCGCAAATTCAGTCGGAACCAACTACCCAACGTGCCTTCCGATCTTAGAGGAGCCCGAGTAACATCCCACTATCGCAGACCGAACGAACGCGCTAACCACGCGCCATCGAGGACCTCCTAAATAAGCTCTTATAAGTTTTTGTAATTACTTAATGTTCCACAAAAACGTCTAGAGTCTAGACGCAACCATCTAGGCTTCACTACAGCTTCATTTAGTTTCTTTTATATAATTGACAATAATGATATGATATGATGATTATTGAACTCGAATTACAATCTAAAATGAATAATTATTTTGTTATATAGCATTTCACAAAACAACGCGAACTGATAAATTAAGTTTTTATATTTCGCACCGACGCACGACTTTGCTAACTGTACATATTAAGGTGAGTGAATGTTCTTCAAGTTACAAATACGCTAACGTCAAAATAATTAATAATTAATTCTATTAAGTCACACGTAATAAGACCTTGTGTATTTCGGTCAGTGCGGGTCCGACTCGACCACGTAATTGGTAATCCGTTTCTTTGGTGACTGGCCCGGAAAAATCCTGGTTAAGTAACACACTACACATACTACATGTACATGCCCACGTAACAACATACTAATTTCGATCACGTAGGCGTCAAACTTCATAAAACCAAAAGGTCTTAATGAGCTAACAGTACGTTCAATAACTATGAATCATTTTAGAAGAAGTAGCTTTGCCACCTACCTTATACCTATGCATATTAGGGTTGATTTCAGAATGTCAGTGTGACTAACCCTCATTAATGACTATATCGCAAAATGACTACACAATATGTCGTCTAGATCTTTAAATGACTACATCGCAAAATGGCTAAGATCGGAAAATGTCTAGATCTTCATTTGACCTGTTCAAAAAAATATACATATATAGTAAAAATACAACTCGGCAAGATTTCAAGCAAGACTCGTCCGGGCGGATACACTGACGGATCTGAAAACTTGACCAAGTTGAATTTTATCTTTTAAAAAATTTCATTTATGACATTGTGACAGTCAAAAATAAATAAATATACCAAATAGTTTAAAATAATCTAGGAAAATTTGGCATGATTATACCGCAGTAGGACTACGAGGAACTAGGGATTTCAAATTTAATAATTTGCTTCCTCGCAGTCCCACTAGACAGATAAATTTGTAGGACTACGAGGAAACGACCCCGTAAACCGGCTATATAGAAAGTGGCTGAACCTTCACAATCGCAACCTAAAGCATTAACCACTGCGCCATTCATCAAACTCCTTTTTTTCTGTTTTACCTTGAATTACAGCACCATTTTCGTTCTATTTGAAAAAGGGAACGACGCATTTGCCGTAGTAGTTGATCTTATTGAAATGAACTAAATAAATATAAACCGTCGATTTTGCAGGATATGCATTCCCTTCTTTAAAATAAGCTATAATTGATTGGTCATGGTCACCAGTAAAATTCGATAAATTTTTCATAAGTGTGTTATTTGTTTGGAGTATGATTTAGTAAACACGTATGAATATTTGATTTATGAAGTTGATACTTACATGATAAAGTATAATTATACCGTTTAAATACTTACCAACATTTTTGTAAAGTATTTTTACTCACTACTTTTGGGGTTTACAATCGAAGAAAAATAAATGATTGTGATTTTTTATTTATTTTAGTTATATCGTAGAATTCGGTAATTATAAAGTACAAATAAAAGTTATTTCTTTACTACCCTACTTTTAACATTTACGAGTATATAAATTTAATACTAACTTAGATAACTTATTTTTGTAATTATACATAAGTAATAAACTAAATAGGTCCAGAAGAACTATTATTTCTGTGAAAGTGAGGATTACCAGCCCCTGGCTTATTTTAGAAAAATCTAATCATTCTATACCCAAGAAATTGAGCTTTATTGTGCTTTGCTTCTCTCTTGCTCTTCAACCTAAGTCCAGCACGATATAAAAAAATCATTACATTGAATTTATGGGTTTGTAACCGGGTTGGATTTTCCGGACTTATTGGCAAGATATGGATCTCTGATCTTCTGTTTCATTTCGAAGAAGAGATCCGGATATTCTCGCATGAATTTTCTAAAAACATTCTTCTCCAGAATTAAAACCTGGAAGTAATACACAGATAATAGCTTCTTGAAATAACAGTAAGGCAGTAGTTTCGGTGCAGATTCTTTGCCGAGCACATACACATCTCTGTGTAAAAACCAATGGACTCTGCTATAATAAAAGACAAATACATTAGAAACCGCACTGAAACCGAGCTGGTCAAGAACTGGTTCTCGGTAAAGAATATGTACATATTCAGAACTCAGAAATGATCCGGTGAGGAAGCCTTCTTAATATGGAGTAGATAGAATAAGATACAAAGCAATTAGAAGAGGAATTCACTGAGCACTCCTCTCTATAAATAACGTGATCATAATATTATGAATCTTTGTATAGAACAATTCAAACTTTATGGCGATTGTGAAGTTAGCAGCGAGCGTAACTATGCAGTGAAACCCCGCGACTACCTACACTTCAATTAAGTACTGCGTCGTGACTTGCGATGACTTCACAGGTGCACTTAATTTTGAAATAGGGATGGTGAAGAAAACGAAATATCATTTAGTCCGTCGTTAAGATTATTAAAAAATAATGGGCATTAAATGTAAATCAAATAATTCTCTCACCAATCGACCAAAAATTACAACATGAAAAGCGCAGCAAAGTTTGGGAGTAGGTTAAGACGTGAACTCATGCGACATTTCAAATCAAAATAATCTCTCACCCCCTTATAATTAAACGAAGTTTGGATTAGTTACTCCATGTTTTGTCTCTGTTCACTGAATGACAAATGGCACTTGAGTGATATGAACAAAAGATGGCGTAACTATCCTAAGCTTATTCCTCGTTTATTAATAAAGTATCTAATGTTTTGATTATGTGAATAAAGAAAAATACGTCTCCAATACTTTTTAAAAAATTACCGGATAGATGCAGAAAAAAAAATTGATAAAATTTCCCTACTCTACAAGAGAAAATATAGGTTATACTTATAGCCAGTTTTAAGCTACTGTGAGATGCGAGCAAGAGAAAATGCATAAACTATACTGTCTGACTATCTCGGGAACTGGACATCACCTTCACAGGCCTCCCCTTAAGATCAGTTAGAGTATGTGGGTGCCTAGACTTGAACACAAAGTACGAGCTAGTTAATTGTTTGTCCATATCTAAGCAAATTCTTACATAAATGATAATAATTATAAAACTACAGAGGAGTTTAAGTGTAAAAGAAACATGATGATATTGGTTTTTAATGACATTTCCCTTGTAAATTTATTAAAAGATGAATGAGACAAATATAAAACAAAAACCACATTTAACAACATAAAAAAACGATACTTAAAAGGTAGATAGATAACTCTTAATATATGGTACTTATAAATACTTTTTCTGTAGTTTATTAAATAAAGAAAATCCTCACTTTACAGTTGGTGACAGCTACCACGTAAGATGTACGGCATTCCCTGTCGGTGACCAAGGAGAGCTCCCCAAAGTAATCGCCGTCGATGAGATGACCTTGTTCGACATGATCGGCCGTATACACCGCCATCACGCCTGCGTCTATGATGATCATACCATGCCCTTGTATTCCAAGCTGAAATATAGACGAATTAAGTGATAAGAGAAGTTTAAAAGAGGAAGAACCTTCAACTTGCAGAAGGTAGGAGAAAATAACACTAGGTACCCTTTCTTGATGTGTTAGTGGTTCATGGCTTGATGTGGAAAAAACTGTCTGACAAGCTGGTGAAATCTCAAGAAATAAATTGTTCTCGGCTATTCCAAATGCAATCAGAGCACGGGGCAAAAATATGTGATGTTGATTTTGATTTCTTTATTGTGTTTTATTATTCCTTAAACTTATACACTTTATCGGTCAAACTAGTTTATCCCGAAGTGTACTTGTTCATATTAGTCTCAACTAGTAGCCTAGATTAAAATAGTTTCTCCTATCGGCCATAGGAGGAACCAATCTAGCATAGTTTGTACTCTGTACCTACCGGTTTATCCTATCGCCTAAAGGATGAATTGGTTTGGAATAGGAAAAAATTTGTTTGTCCTAAAATCGGGTTTGCCGGCAACATATAGATGCTTACTTAGGTGACACTACCAAAACGTTACAATAGCTACTCACAATAGGTGTAATCATAATGTGCTTTCTGCACCTATGTTATATAACTAATTTATTATCCATTCAGCTTACTTCGGACACAACATCGTTTTTGAGATAAATTTCTTCTTTCAAGACGTTCATTAGATTTTCAGTTACCCTCGGTGGCCAGTCCATAAAATAAGGTATTCTCATTATCTTCCTAGTGTAACAATTCATAACTATTTCCCTCTTTACCACAACAGGCAAAGATTTCAAAAAGCTGCTGTGTTTCTCTATAATTCTATGCTTTATCATGTTAAACTCGTAGTACGATCGCAGTTTGAATTCAATTCTATCAGGAAGTTGGCGACACCTCGCCATGTTTCTGGCAGCAACCTTTTTACCCAATAACCTATCTTCGGTGAATCTCTTTCGATTAAAATATGTATATAGCTCTAGTAAACAACACATGTGAAAATATGTCGAAGCAAAGTATACTAATATGGGAGATACTTTATCTAAATAAAAATTTTTACTGTTAAATCCGAAGTTGAAGTGCAAAAGTATGGTAATAACTTGCATAAAAGTAAATACAAAAAGATGTAGATTAAGGCGCACATCTAATTCCATGAACATTATTTTTAAAACTATGTAGAAGTAAGAATGCTCGTCAAAAATTCCAGCATCAATTAAAATCAAAACGTTAACAGCGTTATAGATAGACAAAAACTGTAATGTTGTCATAATTGCCAATAGGGCCAATCGAATTATTCTGCATACACATGTTGCTCTAAAAGTATACCCCTCTCTTATCAGATATAACGATGTTTCGTATAACCTGAGAAGCTTTATAATATTCAAGAAACAGAGAGTGCACACAAACTTATTTAATTTATATACTGTACAATCGATGTCGCAACCGTATCTTAAAAACATAATCGCCAAAATAGGTATTGCTGATGCTACATGAAAGAAGAGTTTAGTCGAGCAGTATCTAATGAGACTTCTATGAAGATTCAATATTATTTTGCCAGTAACGTTATCTATATAGCCGCATCTCATATTAATGAATATGTCAAAAATAACAAAAAACTCAAGCATAGCTCCGAATGCGTATACGGAAACAGGATATTGTCCGCTATTGAATGTGGTGGCATGATGAACTAACAAATAATTTATAATCATTACTGGTAGCATGATTAAATCCCAGAAACTCCTGAAAAATAAAGGTTTCGCTTAAAACTTTAAAGAAATCATGTCTAAATGCAATAAAAGCCTTTCAACGACATTTCATTTACATACTCTAATCATTGTGTGACTATGGAAATTGAAAAAAAATATGCAGTACACGACCACGAGTGGCAAAAAACACACATTTACATTTACATAAACTGAATACTTTAAAGTAGGTATTTTGGCAAACAATAGCAAAGCTAAGTTTTGCTTCAACGGTGAACCTCCTTTATGGCCAGAAAATAATAGTTTATACGAAGATAATGAAGCAAACATTGAAAATAATTAGTCTAATACCAATCTAAAACAGATGAAACTTTATGTACTTGGTACATTAGGTAGGAACTTAATACTTATAATTTTCTTATTGCTTGAGTCGAGAGAATCAATAGTCTTGTGATAAGATTTTTTTAAGCCTTTAACTGGTAGATTTATAATCTAAAGAAAATTTTACTACAAAAAAGTCCATACGGTCCAGGCATCAGACGGGAATCAAACCCACGCCTTCCGTAATCGAACGGATCTAACAAATTATGCTACGGAGACCTTCTAATGAAAATCTCTACTAAAATTTTCTTTTAAATGGAACATTTGTTCATTCCAGCGATTTTAGGTAGTTTAAGTCTTCGAACCTGCATTTACTCAAAGGATGAATACAATTCCTGTGATGACGAAAATGTCTTATGTACTTGGTACATTAGGTAGGAACTTAATACTTATAATTTTCTTATTGCTTGAGTCGAGAGAATCAATAGTCTTGTGATAAGATTTTTTTAAGCCTTTAACTGGTAGATTTATAATCTAAAGAAAATTTTACTACAAAAAAGTCCATACGGTCCAGGCATCAGACGGGAATCAAACCCACGCCTTCCGTAATCGAACGGATCTAACAAATTATGCTACGGAGACCTTCTAATGAAAATCTCTACTAAAATTTTCTTTTAAATGGAACATTTGTTCATTCCAGCGATTTTAGGTAGTTTAAGTCTTCGAACCTGCATTTACTCAAAGGATGAATACAATTCCTGTGATGACGAAAATGTCTTATGCGCTCCATTTTAATCGCGTACGAGCTTTTATAATAAATTCTAGACCGCTTATTGTCATAGGACAACAGAAACAAGTCAAACCACCAACGTTTGAGTTTAACCATCCGGCTGCCATTGGAAATATCAGTAAAAACAACATCCTTTTCAGGTAATATCGAACAGCCATGTTCATAATATGATTCAAGAAAATCACGTGTACCAAACATTTTGCTTTTTTGTTAGTATAGGTATTTGCACTCCATAGTTAATTATGCTTGACCAAGTTTTATTTCTTATTTTTTTTCTTCTTTTTAATGTAGATAGAAATCTTACGTGTCTACGACATCTACGATGGAGATTACTTATTCTGTTTCACGAAAGAGAACAAATAGAAAGAAATACCATCATGTATTTTATTTGTGATAATAAAATAATCATTGTTAGTTTACTCTCTAGATTAAAGTCTGGCAGCGCAGATGACGCTGAAAAAAATATCAGCCAAACACTGGATTCTAAGTCGTTTCCTGATAGTTTTAGAGGTTTCTAATGTGATGTCGTAAATAAACCCCTTTTTTTGAGCTTACATTGCAAACGCTGGCTGAACCCTAAGAGATTGATCAAAATAATGTACTACTGTATTGTACACCTTAAAATTTTACAAAAAAGTCAACGGTGGTATATGTCTATCTCATAGGGATAACCCACAATAACCATTTTTATCCTTTACTTTTTACTAGAAATTTTTATAATGGCTTATTTATGAAGCGTTTTCAAGCAATACATCATTTATCCTTATCAAATTAAAAACCTTAAATACATTGTGCATTTCATATAGATCAATATGGCATTTTAGAGCATGTAATTGAAATAAATATTTTCGAATATATTATAGATTTCAAATTCAGGACATAGCAGTGGTATAATCGAACGCCACTCTTCGCATTGAACCCAGGGTGGATCGCTAGTACTAAAATATAGACAAATTCTTAAATAAAATACTGAACTCGATATCTCTTTAGGGTTCCGTACCCAAACGGAACCCTATTACTAAGACTCCGCTGTTCGTATGTCTGTCTGTCTGTCACCAGGCTTTATTAGAGAGAAGTCCGGAGAATGATTGTTACGTACGTAAAGCATAAAAGCACCGTGAAAATTTGTAGAATTTATAGCTCATTTTTCAGCCACCAGCCGCGTTGTCGTCGGTAAGTAGTATCTGTGAAGTTAGCTGTTTATGAGTACAAGTAGATGAAGTTAGTTGAATATTGTACAAAGTTTTCTTGGCAGCATTGGTCATTTCAAATTAGCCCGTTTTTATTGAGACTACTTAGCAATCGCAGCGCCTCACTTAGTTTGTCCATATTTCTGGGACACTATTTTCTACAGCGATCGTTCTCCTTATCTCTAACCTCCATGTCATGAACTGTGATACCTAGCTAGACAGTTGAAATTTTAACAGATGATGTATTTCTATTTAATGGCCGAGTAGCATATACGCCGGTTTTAAGGTGTCGCCTACTGGAGAGGTCCCGGGTTCGATCCCGGTGGGGGCAGATGTTTGTGTGATCAAAGGAGATTGCTCAGCTTCCATACATGTTTGGCCTAAAGACCAATAATCATGAAAAAATGTTTCCTAGATTCGAAATTATATATAAATTACTGTAGAAACAAATATTATTGACACCCCTGAGAACTTCTATAAACCATATACACACTGAATGATTTTGAGGTTATGTTTGCAAATAGGTACATAGGTATTAAAATAATAAAAAACAAATAAGTTATATAGTAAACTACGGAAACCAAGCCAAGTACTGAAATTATGTATTAGATTCAGGTAAATAGAGCATGTAGATTATCAGATAGTTGCCTGTTTTTAAAGTTAATGCACAAGAATAACTTTATAATCAGGTATCATCTATGCATTTCCGGTTATAATAAGATACTCTGTGACAGAAACTGTGTGATGATGTGAATGAGCCAGTGATTAGATTTTTTTTTCTTCTAGCGTCATGCCATAATAAAAGAAGAAAATGGAACGGAAGTAGAGTATTTGACACATGCACATGACATGACGTTTGTTATCCGTAAGTTTATCATTTACTTTAAGAATAGCCTAACGGTAACGGTCTTGGGATCGACACCAATTGATCGGTAGTTCGATCCTGAGCTTGTTTATTTTTTATTTCTTTTATTAAGATGACCTTCACAGCGTCACCGGGTTTGGGGACGGCGAGATCCTAAGGGAACCTCAAGCCTCTAGAGGTATTCCAGGCGAAAGACATCTCCCCACGGGGAATCTCCTATACACCACTCGAACCTGAGGGGATTGGCTCAGCTAGAGGGTGTCTTTGAGACTTGGACCTCGGCTCTAGTTGGCCATTGTCGTGGGGATTCACCACTGTGAAGTTAGCCCCCCACTTTTTGAATTTTATTATTATCTAGGTTGTTCTGGGTTGTTCTATATTTGTTCTACATTGTTCCAAAGTATTATTTGAAAAAACTAAACTTTGAAGCTGCCAGACAAGAAAAACCGTTTTTCTATGGTAGCCCCCCATGTTTGGAAATTCAATATTATTTTAGTTGTTCCAAGTTGTTCTAGTTGTTCCTTACATTGTTCCAAAGTATTATTTGAAAAAACTCAAATTTGAAGCTGCCAGACAAAAAAAACATTTCTATGGTAGCCCCCCATGTTTGGAAATTCAATATTTTTTTAGTTGTTCCAAGTTGTTCTAGTTGTTCCTAACATTGTTCCAAAGTATTATTTGAAAAAACACAAAATTTGAAGCCGTCAGGAAAAAAAACCGTATTTGAGATGGCCCCCCATGTTTGGAAATTCATTATTTTTTTAGTTGTTCCAAGTTGTTCTAGTTGTTCCTAACATTTTTCCAAAGTATTATTTGAAAAAACTCAAATTTGTAGCCGTCAGGAAAAAAAACGTTTTTGAGATAGCCCCCCATGTTTGGAAATTCATTATTTTTATAGTTGTTCCAAGTTGTTCTAGTTGTTCCTAACATTGTTCTGAAGTACTATTTGAAAAATCTCAAATTTGAAGCTGTCGGACAAAAAACCGTTTTTCAGATAGCCCCCCATGTTTGGAAATTCATTATTTTTAAAGTTGTTCCAAGTTGTTCTAGTTGTTCCTAACATTGTTCCAAAGTATTATTTGAAAAAACTCAAATTTGAAGCTGTCAGACTAAAAAAAACGTTTTTGAGATAGCCCCCCATGTTTGGAAATTCATTAGATTGGACACGTTTCGGAACGCACCCGGTGAACTTGTCAATTTGTATCAGCTGGTTTTAAAATTATCAATAATTAGGTTTTTCGTGTTATTTCTATTTAAAAATAGATTCACAGTGTAGTGTATATAGTAAATATTGTGTGGAATTGTTTTCTCAAGAATTGGACAGTAAACATTTAAAATACTGCAACACAAATATTGTAACGACTACCTACTTGTCAAAATCAAGAAGAAAAACTTGTAATATTCAAGAATAATTACGAAAAAGGACAATAGTGTGACATGCTGCATCATAAACCGGGGGAGTACATTTTATTTTTTCAGTATTTTCTATAAAAAAGAGTGTCATTGTCGATTAATGAAAGTGTATAATTTAGTTTTTCAACTCAGAAAACCTCAACAAATTACTGCACATAACTCACTTAATCAGTGAGTAACGTCACAATTCAAAACGAATAGCACAGTAAACCTCTCTTTGCTTGACATAATAGTGGAAGCAAAATTTGATGGTGACTTTTTGCTCCAGTCATACACCCTCTCTTACTCTTCACAAGCTATACACTAACAACAGTACATTTGAAAATAACTGTCTGAACCCTATTGCTGTGTAATTTGTTCTTATATCATAGTACTAGCTGTTATTATATATTGAGATATTTGTTGCTTTATTCAGTTAGGAAAATTTAATGAGACATAGCAACCTTTTTTAATATTGAGTGCTTATTTACTAATATATAATAGATATCGAATATTATCCATTTAGTTGGTCTATCAATTAAGATAAGAAAAGCAGTTTATTAATTAATTCTGTATTATTATCTACCCTCATATAATAACAATAAAAATAAAATTGTTTTTGGGAACTGTGCAGTATAAAATATAATAATAAGTAATTCTGAAGCAAACTCACATTTTTTCTAACTCATTTCAGGTTATAAAGAAACAATTACAACTTAATTACAACAATGATGACCCGCAAAGCTGCAGCTCAATGCACAGAGCTCCAACTGAGGCATGCTCTTGAAGAACTCAAGCATGCAAAGGAGACTTGTAGTCAGCTACTTCAAGAACGTGAGGAGAATGAAGAAGAAATTAGAAAGGTCATAGACAGGAACACGCAGCTTAAGTGTGAACTATCGCATCTTCATACTGAACACATAGAAGTCCAACTACAACGAGACAATTTGAATGATACCATCAGCCACTATGATGAGCAGTTCAGCACTTATGAGAGGGCTCTGCAACGCATCACTGACCTTGAGAAGGAGCTAAGTGCAGCAAATACCCAAATAGCGCATTTTATGGAAGCTCAGCAGCTTCAAGAGTCAGCACATACCCAAAGTCTTTATGAGGAACTGATGGCATCACCCGGAGGACCTCTAATGCAGTGCCAGCAGCCCATCTATTCTAAATGTAACTCTAACCCCTGTGTAAATGATTTGAATTCTGACAATTCATGTCAATGTTCTGCCGGGAAGGGACTTGTTAAGCTTAGTAAGAACAAATTAAAAAGATATGTTAAAGTCAGAAGGTATATTTTAAAAACTAGGAAACTTATAAATAAAGAAAAAATATTTTATAGAAATATTGAGTTTGTTAAAGAACGTACACAGTTACTACAAAAATTAGATATTTGCCGTTCCATAATTGAATTCTTTGAGCCTACCCGCATCACACACGCATCAGCAACCTGTTTGGATAATATTTTTTTGTAATAGAAATGTTTTTAATAAATCAATAATAAATTGTATTAATTCTGATCATAGTGGACAATTAGCCTCTATTGAACACTATCATGCTTCACCCAAACATGACCTAACTTGTAGACCAATTACACAAACGGGTATAAATAAATTTCAAGATAACGTTTATCACAAAATATCGAACTTACCAGTTTGTAATAATAATAATATTTTGTATGAAGATTTATTCAATTTAATTAAAGATGAATTCAATAAAATATTTAAACGCAAATTAATTAAATGCCATAGCTCTAAAAAGAAATTTAGTGATTGGGCCACACCGGGTATTTACAAAAGTAGAAATAAGTTGTATCAATTATATGCTCTCAAGGCAACCTCATCTGATCCTAAGTTTATAGAATATGTCAAAAAC